TATTTTAGGGCTCCAGGGAAATGCCGGTGCATCTTCCTTTTGGAGGTGGGTCTTTCTGCTGCTGGAGGGACATGGGCTTCCTGAAACTGGGCAGCGGAAAAGTCGGAGACCCACCTTCCATCTTCCCTGTGCGTCTTCCCTGTGGACAGGACCTAATTTATGTGGGTTTTTGGTTGGCGGTGCTGATGTGCACTGCAGCCCCTCCTGGTTTCACCCGGGGCCTGTCACCGGAACCACTCCGTTCCACGACTCCTTCCTGAGCGTGGAGTGAGTGGGTGTGCGTGGGAACGGTTTCTGAAGAGGAGGGGCTCGTGTGTGAACAGCGCTGACTTTGAAGCATGTGTCTGTTTGCCGGTCTCTTCCCACTGCCCCCTTCCACGTGGCCTCCCCCGGGGGAGGGTGGCTTCCGGGTCCCTGCTGGCTGGTGGCTGAGCGCAGGTGCCCTCCCCGCATAGGACCTGTGCGAACGGCACGAGAAGGGCGTGTTGCACAAGCACCAGCGTGCCCTGCACAAGTACAGCGTGACGAAGAGGCAGATGCTGAGTGCCGCCGTGCAGAGCCGCGAGCCCGACTCGGCGCAGCCGCTGGAGTCCCGCATCGTCGAGGTGCTTCTGGCGGGGGGCAGGGGGCGGGGTGGGGCGGCCCGTGGCTGCCCCCCGGCTGGGCTGCCCGTGAGCAGGCCTGGCCTGGCTGGGCCCCGGACCTGTACTTCAGGGCCTGGCCCCTAAGCTTCCGGAGGGTCGCTGCCTGGGGCCGGTGTGGCCGGCGGGGGGATGCGCAGGCAGCCCTGCGATGCCTAGAGCAGAGCCTTTGGGGTGCCCGGTTGGGGTGAGTGGCTTGGAATTTTCCTCAGCGCTGGTGCAGGGAAGGGCTTGAGGCCCCGGGCTCGGGGAGGGGCCGTGTATTGGTGTGGCGCTCCGCAGCGGCTGCTGGGCCAGGTACGAGGGGCGGCTCCTCTCTCCGCAGCAGGAGAACGCCATCCAGACCTTGGAGCTTCGGAGCTTCTTCTCCTTGTACTGCCTGCACCAGGAGATGCAGCTGGTCCACATCTACCTGCCCCTCACCTCCCACATTCTCGGGGCCTTTGTCAACTCACAGATCCAAGGCCACAAGGAGGTGGGTCGGCCAGCCCCTTGCTGTCTGGGAGCCTGGCACTCCTGCAGCCGGCCTTCCGGCATTGCCGGGAGCACAGGGCCTATAAACAGGCCAGGTTCATGTCTGCTGTCGCACACGCAGGCCGAACAGCAGTGGCAAAGCTGTCCTCGCGATTCTTGGAGGGTGGGGGGCAGCGTGAGACCATGATGGAAGTGTTCCTCCTCTCCTGGAGGAATTCTGGAGTCGGGTAAAGCGCAGTATCCCCTGGAATGGAGAGAAGAGAGGGTGGGGCGTCGGTGAGAGAAGGCGGGGGTTGGCGCAGACCCTGGGTCCGTGTCCTCCGGCCGGCGGCTCCTGCACTGTTGGGAACAAGCCCTCTGCTTGACCGGAGATGTGGCAAGCTCCGCGGACACCTGCTGGCCCCGAGGACCCAGAGCCGCATGGTGCTAGTTTGTCTTGGACTCCTTGCGCCTCCGCAAACGGGGACAGGCGTGTCCCTCTCCAGACAGCTTAGAAGGGGGCGTGTGTCTAGGCTTGAAGAAACTCGTATATGGTCCCCGTGTGGTTCTACCTTTGCTGGCCGCTGCTGACGTGGTGTGTGCTGGGTTGGGTCAAGGCCTGGTGGCAGCCCCAGCAGCACAGTCACCTGCTGGGGGGGGGGGGCGCGTCTGCCCGTGGCCACCTGCAGCTCCCTGGTACGGTAGCGTGCTCAGGCCAGAGTCCCTAAAGCCTGGGCCGCAGTCCCGGCTCTGCGCCTGTTAGAACTCTCCAGCCTTGGCGTGTTTAATCCCTGTGGCAAGTTTCCGTTTCTGAAAGACGGTGTGTGCTGCGCGCCTCCTCGGCCTCCATGATCGGCGTGGGACCTGGAGGGTGATGGGCTACAAGCATCTGGGACTGCAGCGTCCCCATCCCTGGGGAGTGTCCCGACGGGTCAGCCAGAGAGGAATGGGCCTCTCCCGCTCCGGTGGAGGCCCGCGCAGGGCCTCGTGCGGGTGGGCTCGGGTCTGGGGAGGCTGATCTCCGAGCTACCCTCCTCTCCCGCACGTCTTACCCCCACTTTCTCTCTGGTGCGGCTTGTCTTGTGTGACCCGCCACACCGGGAGGCTGGTCCTGGCAGAGCCCACCTGCCGGCCACCGGGCGCGCGTGCAGCGCACACCGTTCCTCCTCTTTCGGCGTTCTCTGTGCGGGAAGGGGCTGAGATGCGGCGAGGGGAAGGGCCAGCTGCCCCCTGGTCTGGTCTGGTGGCACGGGGCTCCTTGGGGGTTTCTCACCCTGTTGTGCTCCCTCTTCTCCAGATGAGCAAGGTGTGGAACGACCTGAAGCCCAAGCTCAGCTGCCTCTTCGCGGGACCCAACAGTTCCCTGCCCCCGCCGAGATCCCTGCAGGACGGCATGTCTCCTCAGTAGTGCCAGTGGCCTGGGGCGGGAGCCCCAGCGGCCTCACTAAAATCTCTTTCCAAACGGTGTGTCCCTGTTTAATTCCCTTCAGACAGCGGCTGCCTTCCCCCCCGCCACAGGGTCCCCGGTGTTGGGCTGATGCCCGGGCTGGGCGGGAGGGGCCAGGGTCTGGGTGCTGCCCTCCTGGGGAGCAGGGCCGAGGACATGATCTGAGTGTCCACGGAAGCCAGAGGCCACGGGGATCTGCTCAGCTGCCCCTGCCCCCCTGCCCCCCGCACTGTGCCTGGGAATCTGGTGGGGAGAAGTTGAGGGCCCCTGGAATGGTTTTCTCTGATTCCCAGAGGTCACGGTGGCAGGATGGTTTCCACATAGCAGGTGCCCGGGGGGGGGGGGCATGTGCAGGGGGCCCCCCAGGGGCTTAGAGCAGTCAGGAAGGTCTGGATGAGCTGAGCCCACAGAGGGCAGGACTGTCCCTGTGTCGGATGAGAGGTGGCTGTACCTGGCACATCCCTGGAGGCCAGCTGGCCGTCCTGGGCCTGTGTAGGGCAGCAGTGTGAGTGTGCGTGGGGCGGGGACTCGGGGGCACTGGGTGCACAGACGGTGTTGCTTTCCAGGGGACAAGCCCCAGGGAGTGCCATGGGGGCCCTGGCCTGGTCTCTAGGGTCAAGTGTCCTGTGTCCCTCCCTGTGTGCACGCTCACTCTCTGACCCGTGTGCGCCTGGTGGTCTGCGATGGCAGAGAGAAGGTGAAGTGGTGCTGTTTGCCCAAGTGCAGCAACGGTTCCGTCCTCTCAGCTGCCCGGACGCCCGTTTCTCTGGAGGCTGCACCTGGAGGCTGGAAGGGCAGAGGAGGCCGGGTGGGGGGCGGTGTCCCAGCTGGACTCTGCAGGAAGGGTCCGTGTTGCCGTGGCTGAGCCGCTGTAAACTGGCCTCACTTACTTCAGGCACTCAGACCCCTCCTTCTTGGCCTCCCTCCGGCACCCGCAGGCCCAGAGGGCTCTGTGCCCGGAGCTCTGGGGCTCCTGTGTGCTTAGGGCCCGGGTGCTTCCTGCTCTGAATCCCTTCTGTGTAAACACAGGCAGGGTGCTTTCTCCTAGGCCTGCAGCCCTTTGAGCTCACTGCTCCCTGGCCCCGAGCGGTGCTGGAGGAGGTTCTGACCGCACTGCAGGGTTCCTGAGATTCATGCCTTCCGGGGGGGAGCGCAGACTCCTGGGGGTGCGCCCGGGTCTGATGTCCACCTGTGTGTCCGCACACAGCATGGGGACCGAGGGCAACTTCTCTCCCCACAGACAGGTGTGCTTCCCCGAGGAGACCATGCACACCGCAGTCTGGGGGCAAGTGTCCTTTTGGTCCGGCCAGACGACCGGGTCAGGCCGCGACTCGGACCCGCCCCACGTGTGGGTTCTGCCTGTGCCGGCGGAACAGCCACGGGGGTGTGTGTGTGAGGGGAGACCTGCGGCGCCCCAGCCCGCGCGAGGCCCCGACCGAGGCTCGTGCCTTCCTGGGCTGACGAGAAGGGGCAGCGCATCTGCAGAGCCCAGCACGTTGGGGGCCGTTTTGGTCAGTGGCCTGTTCCTGGGTGGTGGCTTGTGTTCTCACCCCCCGCCATAGAAACGGGTTCTCGGGCGCCGGGAGTGGGTCTGCGCCACCCCGCAGGGCTGCTCCCGCGGCCCTGTGTGCACTTGAGCCACAAAGCGTGACCTCTGAGCCTCCTGTTCATCCCTGTCCGATGCTGCTCACCCACCCGTGGCCTGCACGTGGCTGGTGAGGGACAGGTGACCCCAGGACAGTGGAGAGCAGGCCCCGCCTTGCATGCACTGGGGCTGGGGGCGCATGCACTGGGCAGCTGCTCGAAGGCGGGAGGGTCGGCGCGGGGAGGGCCTCCTCACCCAGGTCACCAAGGAGACTTCCAGCACCAGAGACTTGCCCTGTGCTTTTTGGAGAGGATTTGCTGGTGACTCCGTGTTCCCTTGGCCTGTTCCTGAGGGGGAAATGAGGAGGGGCTCTTGCCTGGAGGGGCGTTTCTGGTCCATCCCCTCCCTCCCCCCAGGCCCTGCAGGGAGGTCAGCAGACAGATGCAGAGACTTGCTGGGGGTGGGGGGGGTCATGTCCTCCCTGTGCCCTCAGCTGGGGACAGCAGAGGCCCCTTTTTTCTGCACAGAGCCTCCCTGTGCCTGAGCTGCAGGGCCTTCCTTGTCTTCCACGGCCTGCATGTCCAAATGCCATGGGGACAGAGCCCTGCTCCCGGACTTGGGCAAGGCTGGAGTGGAACCCCACCTAGGACCATCCACCCTGGACCCTGTTCGTTTGCTCGCTGTCGCCGGCAGATGCAGAGCCGGAGCGGAAGACGCAGTTCTGATGTGCGCATGGGACCCTGGCTGGTTCTGTCTGCCCTCGAGGCCCCTCCTCCCTTGGTGACACAGTTTGATGTACGGAGCACTTTATAAGAAAGGCTGTAGGGATCAGTTACTACTACGCCCAGTAAACTGGAATTGTTCACAAATGGCATACATTCCAAAGTTTTTATCAATAAACACGAACAACCATTAAATCTGTTTATGAAAGTTGGGTAAGTTGTGTGTTGTCTGCCTCCCCCCTTCCTGGTGGCAGAGATGTGGACGAGAACACCCTGTCCCTTGGGGTCCCATAGGGGACAGCCTCCGGTGCCTTAGACCAGGGTTTTAGCCCTGGGCCATGACTGTTCCTCAGTTTCCCCTTGATGGAGGGGTGGGGAACAAGGAGGGTACAGCTGCTCGCCCACGCTGGTCCCAGCAAGAGCCCATGGCACCGCACAGGGCAGCACCCAGCCCTCCAGCTGTCCCCTTGGCGCTGCTCTGTCCCAGGGAGCGGTCACGGCCCAACCGGGCCCTGCGAGGAATGTGGAAAAGGTAAAAGGTCTTTATTTTCACCTCCGCCCACCCCACCCCACCCCCAAGACCCCAGCTCTGCCTCGGGGCTCAGTGAACGGGTGAAGTGGGTCCCATGGCCCGTAGGGGCCAGCGCACTTCTGCCTCGTCCACCTCATCCACCTCGCGTAGCGTGTAGTCCAGGATGGTGTCGGGGTCCTGGAACTTGAAGTACCCGTGGAATTTCTTCTTCTGGAGCAGGAGGGGAAACCAGTAGCTGTCATCGGGCCACATGTCCGAGAAGGGGATCTGGTCCAGCTGGAACCACCGAGGGCGCATTTCTGGAGCAGGTGGAAAAAGCACGGACGTTCCACCCAGGCTTAAACTGCCCGTCAGTGAGCAATGACCAGGCAGGTCTGTGTGAGGAACCGGGCGTACTCGGGTTCAGTCCTCCTGGCTGTGTCACTTTGCAGAAGAGGAACGAGGCTCAGAGCTAGGTGCCGGTGCGGCGCCTGCCTCCCGGGACCCGGACCTGGTTTCCCCTCGCCCGCTGGGGTGGGGAGGGACGGACTCCAAGACTCACCATCGCTCTCCACGGGCGTCCCCTGGACACTGTCTGTGCAGAAGATGTGCACGTCCATCAGCTCAGGCTCGCCCATGAACTCAAACACGATGTGGCCCACCTTGTGAAGTGCGTCCACAGTCAGACCGCTCTCCTCCTGCAGCTCCCTGCGGGTGGGCGGGGCGGGTGACCCTACAGCAAGGCGCTGGGGAACACAGGAGCGCTTCCCCACCTGGCGACCCGGCGGGACTTTGCAGTCATCTGGGGACCTTTCAAATACCGATTCTGTTCAGAGGTTCTGGTTCAGGGCGCACAGGCCGACCCAGCTCAACAGCCCGTGAGCCACGGGGCAGCCCAGGCCTGGCCGAGTTCAGCGGCTGGGGGGGTCACAGGGGTGGGCGGCGGAGCTGGGGACCTCCCACCCTGTCCGGTTCCTGCTCTTCCCACGGGACGGCAACGGCCACACGGATGCTACTCTCCAGGCTGCAGGCTCCGGGGACCTGGGTCCCGAATCCCCTCTCCTCACACCTGTGCTGAGAACCATGGCCTCCCAAGGAGATGCCCCAACCCTCCAGCCAGCTCCCCTGTGGCTGATCACGGGACAGGGGCTTCAGGCCTCCTCCCAGGGACCCCTTTCCCACCCGAGCACAAGTGTGATGCGCGACAGCAGAACCAGGCCGCCCCCCCGGAACGTTCTGATGCTGGCGTCAGTTTTGAAGTAGCCCCCAAATCACATGTCTGCGGTAGATAATGTGGCCAGCACCCCTGGACGCCTCCCCGGAAGAAGCCCTCGTAACCATCTCTGTGTGATCTTTGGGCCGCCTCCTCTGTGCATCCCTTCACATGCCCGCGCGTCTCACGCCGGAGCAGAAGAACCCCCCACCCCTCACGGAGCTCGGCCAGTTTCCCAACTGGCGTGGGTCACGGATAGTAACAGCGGCCAGCTTGCAGTGGCGAGGCGCCCGTGAGGAGCAGCTTCGCGCGCACCCCCGGACCGCTCTCGTCTGCCCGGCCAGCCGGCTCCTTCCCTCGTCCTTCATGCGGCCAATGCTCTCTGGAGGCTCTGTGCTTGGAACTCGGGGGGCTCCCCGGGCCCCGGCAGCCGCGGAGCTCCGTCTGTTCCTTCCTGAGTCTCGCTGCCCTACGTGTATTTTTGTTTCTCTAAGTGCTCTAATTATGCCTGACCATTTATAGTTGTATGTAAAGAATGGCTTTTTTTTTTTTTTTAGCGTTGATCTCCAAGTTCTGTTAGGAACACAATGCATAATTGCTTCCTGTGCCTGGAATGAGAAGCCAGGGAAACCACTCTGCTCATTAAACACACACACACACACACACGTTGGGTCTTAGCGGTCTGATCCCAGCAGATGCCTTCCTCCACTCGGAACCCACCAGAGCTGCCAGGAAGGCCCGCAGCGGAGTCACGTGAGCTGGCTGCCGCGGCAGACCAGGCCCGAGTGGTTCTGAAAGCCGGAATTTATTCACTGACGTGGTTCATTAAAATTAGACTTGACCTAAAAACATGGATGTGTGTGTTCACCTGGGGGTGCAGATGGCCCCCCAGTTAAATGTCCTGGCACCCTGTGGGGCCTCCCCCAGCACTCTGGCAGCAGGCTGGTGGGGCTCACTTTGAAAAACTTCACCTAGTGATTTCATGTTTTGACTAGTTTTGGTTAATCTTCCCCAAATACACAGCAGTGCACGAAATATCAATAATCTCACTTCCCAGGCTGGGATAATTAGCGGGGATGACAGTTTCAGTTTTGTTAAAGTGTCGGATTGTGTGTGTGATGCTCAGCTCCCCAGATGGCAGAGAACGGGATGAATCATGAATTAAACAAAATGACAGCAGCCGAGTGTCTGGGTGGGTGGGTGGGTGGGGGCCCTGCAGTCCTGGGGCTCTGTTCAGCCACTCAGCTCCTGAGGTTCTCTGAACACGGCACTCTGTGGCCTTGCTGGAGGCATCAGGCACGCTGGCCAGAGAGATGGGACCGTCCACCTGCCTACAGCCTGAACCTGACTCTGACGAGCCCCAGCTCCCCAAGTGCCTGTAACCTACCCACCCCCCCCCAAGAATGCTGCATCCTTGCTGCTCAGATGCTGTTCCCCCAGGGACGACCGCTCGCGTGTACGTGGTCACCCAAGCCTGCAGGTGAGAGGGTACGTTAACTCAGCTCTAGACCGGTGGCCTGCTCTGGGATCTGTAAGGGCACAATGGGAGTGCGGTGGATAAAGCGTGTGCCAGGCTCCCTGCAGAGGCCACCCTGACTCACTTGCCTGCAAGAAGCCCAGGGCTGCTCTGGAGTCAGTCATCCTTCTGGCCTGTGGGGCCTGAGACACATCTCAGCCTGTTCCTAAAGTGGATTAGAATGTGCCATCTGGTCTCTCCCTCTCACCCCACAGGGGCAGGGGCACAATACTCCTTTGTCGGAGGTTGTCCTGACTTCTGGCTCCATCCTAGACACCGGGCTGGTACCCCAGTGGCCCTGGGGAGAGGGGAGAGGAGATGGGGGTCCCGGAGAGTGCTCCTCGGAGCCAACCCCAAGACTAGGAGCCCATCTGATGGTGTGGGGCTCTGGGGCTGAACTTCTGCCCTCAACCTCAAGGTAAGGCCTGTCCCGGCCTTCATGAAGAATGTCTGCAGCACGACGGCCTGGCCCTCTGCTTCTGAGCATGGAAATTGTTACTGACCCGTGGCCATAGCAGGATGTCCTCCAGGGGGAGCAGCTGCCTGCAGGGGCACGACATGCCTGTGTGGACGCCCAGGGGGGCAGCTGGGAGGAAGCGCCCTCCACGGCCTCTCTCGCTGGATGAGGCCTCCGGCGTGTGAAAGATCATGAGCCTCTGAGGATAATGAACACCTTTAGAATACGGCCGTGAGTCCGACAACAATAAAAGGTCGCTGATTTCACGAGGGCTCCGTGCTCTGCGGTGAGGTCAGGACAGCGGGACAAGTCGTGGGCCATGGACGACCCCACCGGCAGCCTCTGCGGTCAAGCGAGCGTCTGGGGGGCAGACCCCAAGGGCCCAGTACAGCATCTGGCCGGCTGTGCCGAGCTTCTTCAGTTACCCACCCGGTCGCAAGACGCCACTGGGGACATGGGACAGGAAACAGACGTCAGGCTCTGTGTCACATCTGCCCTGTGATCATGCCAGACGGGGCTGTAGGACAGTGGAAGACGCGGTCTCTTCAATATGATGCTGTGTCAGCCAGACATCTGGACGGATGAATCTCGACCCTCTGCCTTACATCTTACCCCAGACTCCATTCCAGATGGAGTGGCACTCTAACACTCCTGAACATTCCAGAAGAAAACTTAGGGCAATGTCTCCTTAAGCTTGGGTAGGCAAAGATTTCTTTAAAAGGGTGTAGAAACGCGGCATGTAAAGAAAAAGCCGTATGTGGAATCCCATTAAGATGAAACTTCTGCTCATCGAAGTATCACTAAGAAAGAAGAGGCAGGCCACGGAGAGGATACTTGCAGGAGACTGGACGTGGCCGAGGGAAGACTGTGAGCTGGAGGGCATCTCGACAGAACGGCCCAACACAGAACAGCAAAGAGAAGAAAGATCGGAAAAAACTGAACAAAATATCAAGGGTGTGGGACGGCCAGCAAACGTGTGAGCAACAGGAATGCCGGCAGAAGAGAGAGAGAGAAGACATGACTGAGAATGTTCCCGAATTAGTGTCAAGGACACCAAACCACAGGTCCCAGAAGCTCAGCAGACACCAAGCATGACAGATGCCAGACGCATTACCTTCCAAGTGTAATAAATCAAAGATAAAAGATCCAGGGGCCCCTGGGTGTCTCAGTGGGTCGAGTGTCCGACTCTTGATTTTGGCTCAGGTCATGATCTCAGGGTCGCAGATCGAGCCCCGTGTTGGGCTCCTTGCTCAGCGGGGAGTCTGCTTGAGATTCACTCTCTCCCTCTGGCCCTACTCACACGCTCTCTCTCCAATAAAATAAATAAAATCTTAAAAAAAAAAAGATCCTGAAAGGAGCCCAAGGAAGAAAGCACCTGCCCCACAGAGAAACAGGGTAGGAGTGACATCGGACTCCTCAGACACTGGGCGGGCAGGAAGAGGGAGGCGAGACAGCTGGGGTTCAGGGAAAAACAAAACAAAACACACTCACCTAGAATTCTGTACTCCCCTCCCCTTCAAAAGGGAAGGAGAAATAAAGGCTTTCTCAAAGACAAATTGAGGGACTCTATTACCAGCACACCTGCCTCATAACAAACGTGAAAACAAGTTCTTTAGAGAAAAGGAAAGTGATAGATCTGATCTGCCATCTGCACAAAGAACGCAGGAGCATGGAAGGAGTAAGTGAAGGCAAGATGAAACGGTTTTATTTTATTTTATTAAAAGATTTTATTTACTCATTTGAGAGAGAGAAAGAGAGCGAGCACAAGCAGGGGAAGGGGCAGAGGCAGAGGGAGAAGCAAGCTCCACTCCATGCTGAGCGCAGAGCCTGATGCGGGGCTCGATCCTGAGACCTAGAGATCATGACCTGAGCCGAAGGCTGACCAAGGCAGTCACTTAACCGACTGAGCCACCCAGGCGCCCCAAGATGAAACCGTTTTAATTCTTAACTGATGTAACAGGTAACAGTTTGTTCAAAGTAACAGCGATGATGTATCCGCTTACTTATACCCTGTGTGTGCACACTCCTACATAACCTGAACAACAGCAAGGATACGGGGCTGGGGGCTGGAATCGGGATGTCTGCTGTTGCGAGGCAGGCAAGCCGCTCACGGGACGGGGCAGTGTTGTTTGAAAGCGTGCCTGGATTAGCTGCAAATGTGTATTGCAAATTCTGGGGCAAGTAGTCGAGCAGTTAAAAAGATAAGGATAGCTGACATGCTAAAAAAGGTTCGAGAAAGGGACTCATAGAAAGTGCTCAGTTAAAACCACAAAACCGAGAAAAGGGGAGGATGACAAGAAGAGGAACACCGAACAAGGGTGACAAATAGAATAGATATGAACCCAACTATAGGAGTCTCCACCTGGAACATCAGTGGTCCACACGCTCCCGCAGAAGACAGATGGTCGGAGGGGATCAAAAAACTAGACCACCTGTCTACACGGAACCACGCTGGGTATAAAGATTACAAGCATGAAGTATAAAACGATGAAGATGAAAAAATACAGATGAACTGTAAATGGAGAAAGACACATGCCAACACTAATCAAAGGAAAGCAGGAGTATCTGTCTGAACTTCAGACATCAGGAGTAAAGAAGGGTATTGCTGTGCTGGTAAAAGGGCCACTTCTCCACGATACGATCCTCAACACGTATGTGCCTCAAAATAGAGTCAAACTGCAGGAGGCAAAAACTAACAACTGCAAGGAGAAACACATGAATCCACGTCCTAGCGGGAGACTTGAAGCAGAAAATCGGTAAGAACGTTAAAATGTATAAAGAAGTACAGATCCCGAAGATTAAGACAGGCAACCCAATTTTTAAAAAATGGGTGAAAGACTTGGGCAGACACTTCACAAAGCCCAGACATCCAAGTGGCCTGCAGACACGGGGCCGGCATGCCAGATCAACGGCCCCCGGGGCAAACACAGCCTCCCGAGGCATCGGTCCCTCCAGAGCGGCTGAAATCAGCGATCAGAAAGTGCGTGTTGCTGAGGCTTGGAGGGAGCTCCCATGCCTCCTGTGGGTGCATACGTGAGCTCGACCACGGGGCTCTGTACACCCCTGCCCCGGGGAACGGCCGCCAGGAGAGCAGACACGGCATCAGGGACCCGGGACCATTGATGACAGGGCCACTCACAGCTGCAAACCGGGACAGGCAGGGGCCGTGGCAGCAGTGGGAGGCCGACCGAGAAGGATCCGAGTTCTGTCCTGTGGACAGAGAGCACGTGCTTCCTCATCTCGACGACTCGCGTGTCTTGCCCGATCCCAAGCCTGCTCTGCGGGAAGGCCACCATCGCACTGGGTACAGAGGGTCTTACGTGTGTGTCTCCTTCAGGAAATGCGGAACAGAGAGAGGGCGGGAGGGACGGGCCCTAGGAAATCAGAGGCCTGCCAGTTTGCTTGTCGCCAGGACGGCAGAGGACAGAGGTGAAGCTGTCTGTACCCCACAAGGCCCACACCACACACCTCTGCACGGCCCTGCCCCTCAGCCTCTGGGCTTCTGTGGATGCTGCGTTCCACCTCCCACCTGCTTGGACCAAATGTCACGTCCTTTAGGAGTTTTTCTTTTGCCCAATTATCTGCCCTGGCTCTTCATTCTGGACGCCCCAGAGCACTGGCTGTCCCCTAGGCCCGCTCTCTGCACCTGTCCCTGTGAACCTGATAGCCAGACTAGATGGGAGCTCTGCAGGGCTGGGGCCGGGACCTGTTCCCGTGTCCTGACACTGAGCAGGACCCCAGAGATCAGGACCCAGTGAACGGGCTCAGGAGGACAAAGACATTCGCGTGGTTGGCAGAGCAGACCACCGGCACCCACTGCTTGTCCATATTCCACGCCCACCCCCGGGGCGGCTCACAGGGCCAGATGCCAGAGTCTCGGCAGACTGGGCTCTGCCCCAGCTGTACCCTCCCCAAGCAGGACCGGTCACACGGCCTTGCACTTGCCAAAACCAATGACCCCACATGGCGGCGTCGCCGCAGCCCTGGTCCCGGGCCCATGAAGGGGAGGGGCACGCCACAGAGGGCACCACGGCTTTTCAGACAGGGCTGCGGCCCAGCCGTGCGCCATGAAGCCAGCTTAGTGACCCACGATTAAAGGACAACGGGGTGGGAAACGTGCTTGTGGCCTGCCATCCGTGACAGCACCGCGGCCTCAGAGACTAGACATTTCCTACGTGGTGGTCGTGTTTAAAAAACCCCGAACTCGAGAACCACCGGCCTGTAATGCCCGCAGCCTTCTTCCCTTCCAGAAGCCTCACTGCTATGCGTGTGGGGCTCTGTTTTCTGCCCCAGGGAAAGCGGCCTTAATCAAGGTTGCCAACGTTCTTCAGAACAACATCAACAGTGGTGAAGGTTTGTGTAGTGCTTTGTGCGTTTACACACAGTCTCATTGTACCCGCACATGCCTATGAGGAGAAAGAAGGGCAAAGGGCTTGAAATCGTAGCTGTGTGATCGCAGACAAGCCGCTCGACCTCTCTGGGCTTCGCTTCCTGCCCTGGGGAAGTGTTGAGGATTAACGGAGCGTGTGTGTGCTCCAAAAGGCTGAGACAGAAACACTCGTCGTCAGCTCCCCCGAACAGACGGAGACGTCCAGTGACGGACCACCCCTTGGCTAGAAGAAGCCGCAAGCACAGCCTTGAGCCGCTCCTGAGTCCCCAGCGACAGCTGGCGTGGACCCCACTCACCGCCCTGCCACGCCCTTCGCCAGAGGCAGGAGCGGTTACTGTTATTCCCATTCTGCAGATGAAGGAACTGAGGCCCAAGGGCTCCATAAGGAGCTCCAGTCTATCCCCTCGGGAGCTGGTTGTGTGGGCAGGCCCACCCCAACCTCACCTCTTGGCCCCGTCCTCGATGGTCTCTCCGTCTTGAACTTTGCCCCTGAAGCCATTCCAGCGGCCGGCCCCAAAGCCTCGCTTCTTCATGCCCAGGAGCACCCGCTGAGGCTGCAGCACTAGCACCAGGGTGTAGAGCCTGGTGGCGCCCATGGTCCTCCGGGGACTCCTGAGGAAGGCAAGAGGGCGGGCTCAGCCCAACCTGGGTGCAGACGGGGGGCGGTGGAGGCCAGGGGCCAGGTGGGATGGGAACGTGCCGTGGAAGGCAGGGAGGGGAAGGCTGGTATGTCATCTCCCAGCCCTGCCACACGTGGCTGGCCTCAGGGACAAGGGAGCTTCTGGGCTAGAGAGGGGCTTGGCTCTGCGAACCCAGTGGCAGCAGTCAGTGCCCAGGCTGTTGGTAGGGGGATGGCCATGTCAGTGCTTGCCCCGCCTCAGCACAGAGGCAAGAGGGCAGTCCAGCCGTGGGCACAGCAGAACCACGCGGGTTAGCCCCTGGTCGTCGGGTCAGGCTTTAGGCCGTGGCCTCTTCACCAGTGGGGTCTTCTTCTGGCCTATGGGGATCTGCCTTCTGCACCTCAGCAGTGGCAGACTACGGAGTCCCAAGCAGTGCGTAGCTCCTGACAGCGGAGAGCCCGCTCAGCAGGGCTGGCTGGTCCTCCCTCCTGCGACAGCTCATCTGCTCACAGCCGTTGCTGCCCTGGGGGCCACAAGGGCCCCCCTCCTGCTTGAATGGGCGAGCACCATCCAGAGGAAGACTCCCAGGCTGAAGTCTGGGTGCTTGCTGGAGACCTGGGGGAGGGCCAGGAGCAGGGCCCCTGTCCACCCAGCCCTGGCACGGCCTGGGGCCCCCTGAACACAAGTCTCCCACGCTGGGGACCACGCTGGATGAGAAGCAGGCACAGGGATCCTTCTGGGAAGTTCCCGTGCCTGAGACAAGGCACCTTCAGGTGGGCCCTGGTGTTGGGGGTGGGTCTCCGTGCCTGAGGCTGGATGCCTGTGTGCTTGGTCCTGAGGCTGACGGGGTCACGCCCAGAGCCCTGGCTTCCCAGTGAACTGTGCAGGTGACGGGGAGGATACCGGGGGTGTGGGCTATCAATTAGGAAGCACTCACTGTATGCTTCTCAAAAAGTATTGTTTAACAGACCCAACAACTCCGAGAGCTAAGACTCTCGTTCCCCGTTTTCAGAGGAAGAAGGGGGGGCTGAGAGGCGGAGTGGGACCCAAGGTCAAAGGGCAGACTCAGTGCCCCAACCTGGGTCTAGTGGCTGTTGAGGTTCAGCGGGGGCACAGACGCTGGAGCAAGCGGCCTGGGTCCTCAGAGAGCCCACCTCGTGTCAGGGCCGGGGGGGCTTCCTCCCACTGGGCAGCCCTGCCTGTTAGCCGTGGGGCCGAGTCCAGTCACCTGCAGACTGAGGCCCCTTATCAGGGCTTTAAGAGACAATATCCGCCCTTCGCAGAGCACCAGGCCGGTCTTACACAGCGCGGGGGGGCTCGGGACCTCAGGTCCCCAGGCCGTGAGACCCCGGCAGTCCGGGATCCATCTCCTCCGGCCTCTGCTCACCTGGCACCCCGCCTGCCCCTCTCCCCTCCCCTTCCCCTCTTCAGAGGCCCCCGAGCCCTGCACTCCTCTACCCGGTGCCTGGCCCCCCT